AAATGCGCTGTATAAGTACGAACTATTAGTATCATTATCGTGCACGCATCTCGCCACTCCGCTATTCTGACATAACCATCCAAATGATTCGCATTTAGGCCTAAACAACCTTTTCCTGATATAATTTTGTACCGCAGGAAAATACAATCATTATTGTTTTGCTATGTACCGCGCCCTGATCAACACGCGCACGTTGGCCTACTCGCATGCCTGCCTACTCATGAAGTTCAGTTTTTTTCACACAAACTGCTCCTTTCAAACGCTACAAATCTAGGAGTTTGATAGTTGAATCATACTGTCTAAATTAATCATGCCTTCGTCCATTTCGTGGAGTTTTTGCCTGGGTTTCTTTCGAAGCAATCGTATGGAGCGCCAAAGGTGCCAATATCAACAGTCACAAAAACAAACAAAGATGCATACAAACAAACAAAGAAGATACAAACAAACAAAGGACAGAGCAAAATAGACAAAGTACCCAGAAGAAAGGACCAATTAACAAAGAATAAATCAAAGGTCAGAGCAAAATAGACAAAGTACAGGTCAGAAGAAACAGAGGGCGTTTTGGTTTACGGTAAGCAAATAGACATCAGGCACGAAAACGAGAAAGGACAAACTCAAAAGGACATCAGCTCAGCTAGGAACTGACCCTCAAAGGACAACAGAGGGCGTTTTGGTTTACGGTAAGCAAATAGACATCAAGCACGAAAACGAAAAAGGACAAACTCAAAAGGACATCAGCTCAGCTAGGAACTGACCCTCAAAGGACAACAGAGGGCGTTTTGGTTTACGGTAAGCAAATAGACATCAAGCACGAAAACAAGAAAGGACAAACTCAAAAGGACATCAGCTCAGCTAGGAACTGACCCTCAAAGGACAACAGAGGGCGTTTTGGTTTACGGTAAGCAAATAGACATCAAGCACGAAAACGAGAAAGGACAAACTCAAAAGGACATCAGCTCAGCTAGGAACTGACCCTCAAAGGACAACAGAGGGCGTCCTCGAGGTTTTTTTCTTTTTAATCTAGGGCCTACTCCAATATAATACGCTGTAGGTCAATACAACAAATATGGGCTTTCATCGAAAGGGTGCGGTGCGGTGCGGCGCGGTGTGGTGTGCTCAACGCACCCATTCGATAAAAGAGGGGGGCCTTTTCTCGAAAGGGTGCGTTGAGAGCGGAGTACCATTTTAACACACCCTTTCGATGAAAGCGGGGGGGGGGGGGGGCTTTTCTCGAAAGGGTGCGTCGACTAGTCTTTCGCATCAGTCGTTTAAAATGAGGATCTCGGACAGAAGGTAATAGTTGCCAATTTAAGTATATCGAAAATGTATTAAATGAAATGGAATGGTCTTGATTACAGAGTGGTCTCTTTGATGGGGGAGACAGAGAGAAGGAAAAAAGGGAAAGGGAAGATAAAAGGAAAGAAAGGAGAGGAAAAAGAATAAGAAAAGAGGGAAACAGGGGCGAAGTGCTCTTGCCTCCTCCTTCCCCCCCCCCCGCCAAAAAATAAATAAGAGAGAGAGAGAGAATCTGTTCTGATCCTGGTCCTGATCCTCAAGAGGGATATAAAGATGACCAATAAGAACGTTATCGTTCGAGAGAGAGTGTTTGTTGCTTCTAGAACATTTTAGAATTAAGTCCCATCACATTGCAGTTGTGGGGAGGGACTATGATTATATTACCCCCTTGGATGGCTTCCCATAAGAGTCCGGCTTTGAAGGTTTCGACTGCGTCGCAGGCAAAGATGCTGGGGGGGGGGGGAAAGTAAATTCCAGGCCCGTATGGTTCTTGGAAAGAAGGTGAGTCGATATATATCCGTCTTGCATCTTATGTTGGAGAAGGAGAGGGAAAGAGAAGATAAAAGGAAAGAAAGAAGAGGAAGAGGAAGAAGAATTTGTGTTCTGCCAGTGTCACAAATAGATAATATAAATATGCTCATCTGACGATAATTTGATGTATAAAACCCCTCACCTTCTTGGGGCTCCGCCCCTTGGATCCAACACCAATTTGTGTCCTTCCAGTGTCACAAATAGATATAAAAATATGCTCATCTGACAGTTATTTATTGCCCAAAACCCCTGAGCTTCTGGGTGCTCCACCCCCTGGACCCCACGCCAATTCGTGACCCCTGTGTCACAAATAAGGTATAAAATAATAATTATTTAATGGACAAAACTCCTGAGCTTCTGGGGGCTCCGCCCCTGGACCCAACACCAAATTGTGTCCTGCCACTGTCACAAATAAGGTATAAAATTATGCTCATCCGACGTTAATTTTGATGTTTAATACCCCTGAGCTTCTGAGGGCTCCGCCCTGTGAAAAAAACGTGTAAAAAAAACACGTTAATTTTTACCGTTTTTGGGAGATACCCCCCCCCCCCTGGCGTTCAAGGGGGGGGGGGGGTACGATTTTTCAAATTTTTGAGGGCCCCAAAAAAGATTAGTGCTCTCTAGTAATTTCGCGACTACTCCGGAACCGCGGCAGTTTTTCTTTCATGACTTTTTTCTTTCGAGTCTTACGCATCTTTTGAAACATTTTTTTGTTGAAAATCGGACGTATAATTGCGGAGTCACGTGACCTTTTGTTTTTGCATGTCAAAAAAATCTAAAATCGCTCATTTTTGTGATTTATGTACCAAACATATGGAAATACCATTTATTCTTTTAAAAAAAGAGAAAACATTGGTTATTTGGTCTTGTTTCAAGTAAATTTGTTTGATTTTGGGTAAAAATAGTTGAATTGTGGTTAGAAATGAAATGAAATAACAAAATAATATAATACATAAATACAAATAATCAAAACAAGAGATAACATAGGGATAAACTGGCTCTTCCAACTTTGTTGTCGTATTATTATTCTAACGAATATATGAAGTGAAAAAGAACGCTCGAATATGAATTATATATGATTTATGGGTAAAAATGTGAATTCTCTGACCTTGTTTGCATAAATTACCATAAATATGCATTTTCGCGGCGATCGGCTGTGAAACGGCCGAGATCTTAGGAGGACCCCCCCCCCCCCACCCTCAAGTCCACTCCAATCACATTGAAAAAAAGTATGACTTAAATCATCTCTCTCATCATTATACCGCTATAGTATTCATGTTTTTAATATTATTTATTTTCCATTAAACAAGTTCATAGAGAAAATACTTATCTCTCTGCAACATTAAAAAAGAATCTTCATTAATATGTCTTAATTTGTATTGATAGCCTTGTGGTCGCCAACAGTGGCGAAGGCAGGGGCGTCTCCAAAGGGGGTGTGGGGGTGCGACACCCCCCCCCCCCCACCTGTCAGGATATTGTCGGTAAAATTGCGCTGCCGTCGGGAAAATGAGAAAAGGGGGAGGGGGAAAAAGAGAGTAAAAGGGAAAGAAAAGAAAAAAAGAAAAAGAAAAGAAAAAAAGAAAAGAAAGGAAAGAAAAGAGAAGAAAGAAAAGAAAGAGAAAAACGAAAAAGCGGGAGAATAGGAAAGAAAGGAGGCAAGAGCCCTTTGCCCCCGTTACCCTCTTTTCTTCTTCTTCCTCTTCTTTCTTTCCTTTTATCTTCTCTTTCCCTTTCCCTTCTCTCTCTCTCTTATTTATTTTTTTTGGCGGGGGGGGGGGGGGGGGGAGGAGGGGAAGAAGGGCTAGGAGGCAAGAGCCCTTCGCCTCCGTTTCCTTCTTTTTCCTCTTCTTTCTTTCCTTTTATCTTCTCTTTCCCTTTCCCTTTCCCTTCTCTCTCTTACTTATCTTTTGGCGGGGGGAGGAGGAGGAGGCAAGAGCCCCTCTTTTCTTCATATTCTTCTTCCTTTCCTTTTTTATTCTCTTTCCCTTTCCCTTTCCCTTCTCTCTTTCTCTCTTATTTATTTTTTGGCGGGGGGGGGGGGAAGGAGGAGGCAAGAGCACTTCGCCCCTGTTTCCCTCTTTTCTTATTCTTTTTCCTCTTCTTTCTTTCCTTTTATCTTCCCTTTCCCTTTTTTCCTTCTCTCTGTCTCCCCCATCAAAGAGACCACTCTGTAATCAAGACCATTCCATTTCATTTAATACATTTTCGATATACTTAAATTGGCAACTATTACCTTCTGTCCGAGATCCTCATTTTAAACGACTGATGCGAAAGACTAGTCGACGCACCCTTTCGAGAAAAGCCCCCCCCCCCGCTTTCATCGAAAGGGTGTGTTAAAATGGTACTCCGCTCTCAACGCACCCTTTCGAGAAAAGGCCCCCCTCTTTTATCGAATGGGTGCGTTGAGCACACCACACCGCGCCGCACCGCACCGCACCCTTTCGATGAAAGCCCATATTTGTTGTATTGACCTACAGCGTATTATATTGGAGTAGGCCCTAGATTAAAAAGAAAAAAACCTCGAGGACGCCCTCTGTTGTCCTTTGAGGGTCAGTTCCTAGCTGAGCTGATGTCCTTTTGAGTTTGTCCTTTCTCGTTTTCGTGCTTGATGTCTATTTGCTTACCGTAAACCAAAACGCCCTCTGTTGTCCTTTGAGGGTCAGTTCCTAGCTGAGCTGATGTCCTTTTGAGTTTGTCCTTTCTCGTTTTCGTGCTTGATGTCTATTTGCTTACCGTAAACCAAAACGCCCTCTGTTGTCCTTTGAGGGTCAGTTCCTAGCTGAGCTGATGTCCTTTTGAGTTTGTCCTTTTTCGTTTTCGTGCTTGATGTCTATTTGCTTACCGTAAACCAAAACGCCCTCTGTTGTCCTTTGAGGGTCAGTTCCTAGCTGAGCTGATGTCCTTTTGAGTTTGTCCTTTCTCGTTTTCGTGCCTGATGTCTATTTGCTTACCGTAAACCAAAACGCCCTCTGTTTCTTCTGACCTGTACTTTGTCTATTTTGCTCTGACCTTTGATTTATTCTTTGTTAATTGGTCCTTTCTTCTGGGTACTTTGTCTATTTTGCTCTGTCCTTTGTTTGTTTGTATGCTTCTTTGTTTGTTTGTATGCATCTTTGTTTGTTTTTGTGACTGTTGATATTGGCACCTTTGGCGCTCCATACAATCGAGCTTTTTCGACCGCTCTTGTAATCATTGTGCTCATCGTTAACGAAACTTTCATGACTGCTGTTCGTGAGTACAACTTTTAATCGCTACAGTTTCGTTAGAAACGGAATGTATACATTTTATGCTGATTATATTAGATTTGTTTATTTATTTATTTATTCATGATTTCTTTCAACAGGGTTGTTTCATTCAGCACCTTTTAAAGCCTGTGGACCTGATTTTCAAGAAAGCCCTGCATAATACAATAACATTAAAAAACATAAATATAATAATACAAACATTATATATTGTACATAATTTATGCCCTACATGTAAAATATCAAAATAAACATATATCTTATACAAATTTGAATCATGCAATAGTTATTATCAATCATTCAAAAATAAATACTGAAGTATTACACTTACAAAACCCACCCCTAAATCAAAAACAAAAACACAATGGATAAATAGAAATAATACAATTATATACAGAAGGAGACAAATCTAGGCCTATTGCACTTTTGAAAGTTACCGATATAATTTTACAATCACATTAATTGGTTTTACAAAATATTAAAAACGCCAGGGGTTGGGGGGGGGGGGGAATAAATACGTTAAAAGGTTACAGAGCATGCGCGGAACCAGGCGGGGACACAACCGAGGTTTCAAAATATACTCATCTGACCGTAATTAAATGCCTAAAACCCCTGAGCTGCCGGTGGCTCCACGCCCTCGACCCCACCAGGGGAGGGGGCTAAGGCGGGCCCCTGAATGCTTATCGGACCGTTATAAAATGCCTCAAACCCATGAGTTTCATGGGCCTCAGCCACCTGGACCAAACGCCAATTAGTGACCTGCCAGAGTCATGAATAAGGTATCAAAATATGCTCATCTGATTGTAATTAAATGCCCATACCCCCTGAGCTTCCCGGGGCTCTGCCCCTTAACCCCCTATTGAATAATCCTGGCTACGCCTGTGATCATCAGTGCAGTCTGAATTGATTGTCATTTGTGATCGTACATGTGCAGTTATTAGCATAAAGCCTCTCACTCGCACGTAATAAGGTCAAACCCTCGTTGCCCTATTCAATGCAGATATTCAGATCACAAGAAAGAAAATGATTTACATTGAATTGAATGTTACGCGTTGTTATAAAGCTTTGTAACGCCTGGAAAATATGCAAGCAGACGGGGCAAAAGCGTTTAAAAATTTGTATTGGATGTCATGACTAATTTTTACGCAACTCTGGGAAAATATGCAAAAGGATGAGGCAAAAGCATGCCAAAATTTTGAGACACTTTTATTGGATTGGAAACATTTAAACATCCAGTGCAGTTGATTTATATTCAGATTACAAGTAAGCTTGAAAAACACGTTATGAAAACAAATACCAGCTTTTGTTTCTCATATTATTTTGTGCCATAGACCGTATAGTGGGCCCACACCTAGGCAGACACAAGGCCTTTATTTTTAATCGTGAGGGGACGATAAACGCGACATCCCGCAAATCACGATCGTATAGTGGGGTTCGATAGTGGGGTTTGATAGTGGGGTACGATAATTTTATGTACATATCTAGTGGCAAGCCCTGATAAACGTACGCGCCCTATATCAATGACAATAGGCCATTTTCGTGAAGTCTTTGTGAAGTGCATCAATACAAATGATTTCATTCACCTTGTAAGAATAACAGTATTTCAATAGACATAATCAGAACTGCATACATTAGTTGTTGCCAGATTGGACGTGATGGTACGGGATGTGGCCCTTAGTGGGAGACTCGTAGCTCTCTTTGCATGTTTAGTGCATGTGTTTGTATTTGTCAAGTTGTCTTGATATGTCTGTTTGTCTGTCTTGTTTCTTTGTCTGTCTGTGTTGCTCGTTGTATTGTACTGTTACTCATGCTCTATAAAATAATGTTTAAAAATTCATCCGATGGCCTTATACATATAGCCTATGTATAAAATAGTTATTTGTTATCATGATGTATAATAAGTTGAAGATTATTTCTATGAACTGTAGTGGTTTGGGAAACTCTCAGAAAATAAAAGATGTACTAAACTATTTAAATGGAAAACATGCTAACATTTGTTGTTTGCAAAATGAAAAATCTCTATCTAAATTCAAAAGTTCAAAATCCCTTAGACACGCGTGTTATAAGTCCGTTTTTGTCGAAAACAAAATCGTGTACAAACCCTACGGCCGTCCGCCAAGTCACTGCTATAACTACTTCTAATAATAACAATAATAATAATAATAGCCTAATAGTCCACTCCAAATTTTATTAAACCGAAACGGAAATTCTTTTTGCCCAAGTGATCGTGAGCCCGGCAGCCACTGAGCAGCGCCAGATCGACGTTGCTCTATTCAAACAAACATTAATAATACTTTATCAATGAGTTACATAAACAAATGATCCGGAATGCATTAGAAGAAGAATTGTGGAGATAAAACCTATTTCTAATTTTCTTACCCATGCATGAAGTAATTATTTATGTAAAAAATAGATCCGTTATTCGAAATCGGAAAAAAGCCTTTAATCAATTGTTAATAGAAGATTATTAATTAAGATCTTATCTCTCTCTCTCTCTCTCTCCCTCTCTATCTCTCTCTCTCTCTCTCACACACACACACACACACACTCCTCGCCCCATCTCTCTCTATCTCTCTCCCTCCATTCTCTCCCTCTATCCTCCCCCTAATTCTCCCCTTCTATCTATCTTTCTCCTTCAATATTCCTCATTCTCCCTCCTTTTACTCTCTCTGAATACAGTACCAGTGTCTCCTGAAGTCCTACTCAAATTTTGTTACAGGAATGTGTACCGTTCTTTGTGTCAGGAGGTTGCACAGACGGGACTATTCAACATGTCGGAATGTTTGACAGAGCAGCCCGAGTCGTATCACAGTACCAAGGATGTCACACCCTCCTATACAACCAGCTCCACTCCAGGTCCCTTCTTAGCTCCTCTACACGACTGTCATGAGAGGCTTAGTTTCCAAAATGGGTTGCTCCTGGCAACAAAGTTCTTGATGAGGATCTTGCTGACTGTTCCTACAAGCTCGCTCGTTGATAAGTAAAAAAAATATTTGGAGCACATACATGTCTTATAATTCGCTCATTAATTTAATATTCGAATTTAGTGGTTAGACTTCTAACATGCAGGACTGTTCTCAATTTATCTTAACAAGGGATAACAAAATTAGAATTATGGTGTACAAAATACAGTTCACAGTGATAATTTCGTGCCAATGTCAAAATTACAATAAACAGAATTAACATCACTTTTTGTGCTGTCACGTGTCTCTTCAGGAAAAATACAGATATGATAAGAAATTACATTTCTGTAATTAATGCTTGATTAGGTGTTAATTTGTATCTTCTTTTTCAGAATTGGACCGTTTTTAACGTTTTTCTTCAGTACACTCTTGACTCTGGCCGCCTGTTTGAGTAAGATCCTTCTCGATGTTCATAATTGTAGTTATTACTGCTACTCTTTTGTATCATCTCTCTCTCTCTCTCTCTCTCTTTCTTCGCCTGTTAATCCGTTACTTAAAGAGAAAGTCCAATTAAAGCAGAAAAGGTAAAGAAACAAATAATTCAAAATTTGAGGAAAATCCGATGAAGAATGAGAAAATTGTAGATTTGTATAGTGACTTACGTGTACCTGTGATTTCACATTCGACCCCATCTCCATTTGTTAATTGCTTTATAAATCTTAAAATTCCATTTTCTCGCGAAAGAAAAATATTGTACCAGCACTCTACTTGTAATTATTTAACATATGATTTTACACAACCCCTATACTAAGTTAATCGATTCCTTAATCATCAGTAAAGAAGAGGGCTTTTTTCTCTCTCTCCCCATTCCTTGTTATTTTCAGTAGAAAGCAAATGGTAAAACAAATTAAATTCTTTTAATTTTACAGTGATGGGCTTTGCTGACTCGATCCTGGTACTTTTTCTATCGCGAGCACTCCATGGCATCGGTGCGACTGGAGTGGAAATCGCAGGTACATTTGCCACTCTCCACCTTGGTGTAGTAAATGTGTACATGGTATAATGTAGCTATTATTTTCGTCATTGTTATTATTACAACTTTCATTTTAAGATATCTCGGAATCATCGGTGTAGATTGACCTATTGTCAACAGATTATAAGGCAGTCTTTAATATATTCCGAGATATCTTAAAATGTAAATGAACAATACAGTGTACAACATTTATCTCTAACCTCTTTCTCTCGTTCTCTATGCCCCTCTCTCTCTCTCTCTCTCTCCTCTTTCTCTCATTCTCTCTTTCTCTCTTATTTCACTTCTCCCCCTTATGCTTAAGATTGTATTCATGTATCTAAAGTATCAATAATCAATTCGTCCCCATTTTCACGAAGTGACGGATGAGCGCGCAATTAAAAGAAAGTTAGTTTTGAATAAATTGCTTCCGAACTTTCAAACCATAATCTCAACCACTTTAATGTATCAAGGGCAAATAAATGTTATATCCTGGGATAGAACATATCTCAATGTTTAGTTCTAAGTTTAATTATTTCCATAATTTCTTATACTTTGGGGGAAATGAGCTCTAAAAATAACGGCTTATGCCGAAAGGGTGGGTAGCGTCGCGTCGCGGCGACTTGAACGCGACCATTCGTCCGAAGCCCCCCCCCCCCGGTTTGGCCGAAAGGGTGCGTTGGATTGTTGGGTGCGTCAGGTCAGATAACGCGACCAAATGGCACATACAGGGGGGGGGGGGCTTATTCCAAATGTACGCGTTCAGAGTCCCATGCCGACAGCGCGCGCGCCTGTTACGTACCTTAGAGATCTATAATAACACTTGATCTCTATGTTACGTACGTATACGCACCTCGCGTACGTCGTGGATATCGATGGTGGATATCGATCGCAAGCTGACTAGCTGAGAGAGATGGAGAGAGGCTGGACATCTTCGAGCTTCGTGATCACTTTTGTGGTGAGTTTATATGAGTATTCCTGCATATTATCGTGTTTTTGTGTAGTACGTGTTCAAGTATACAAGTAAAATGTCAAAATATAGAAGTTTTTTAGTTTTGTTTCAATTGCCAAGTGGTAATCCGCAATGTTGTATTAAACTGACCTTGATGATCGGATCGTACGGTTGATCACAACGGCTGAGCTCAGTCCTATATGCTAAATTTGGTGTAATCTTTCAGAACTACCTATACGCAGAATTTTGAAATTGTTCTCCATTAATTAATTATGGTAAGTTATGCAAATTTATTCCAGAAAAAGCAAAAATTGCTTTTTCTCCCTCATTTCTTGACCAAATTTGATTTGGTTTGCTTTATCTGGTAGAGCTAAATTTGGTTTACTAAAATTCTACACAGAATTTTGAGATTTTGCTCCATTGATTAATTATGGTAATTTATTCATATTTATTCTAAAATTAACAAAAAATGCTTCTTCTCCTGTAGTTTCTATTTAATCTTGTTCGGCTAAATGAAATTATGTCCCTTCCAGGGCATCAAATTTTTATTTTTTGACCAGTTCAAAAGTGTACCACATAAAATTGACGATATTTGTTGTTACGAGATGCGGATGAGCGCTACGTCATTGACGTTCTGGTTTAATAAACTGAACTGAACTCGTGATCCAGGCCCCGCGCAACGGCGTAGCATGTTCTACAACGGTGGTGGGGCGTTTCGAGGTTTAATGAAGGAGTTAAATGGGAAATTAAAGTGATTAGAAATGGAGTTGAAAGTGAGTGGGGGACTGGAGGATAGAGTATTTTAGATAAGGTAGAGCGTTGCACAAATTGGCGGGGAGATCAAGGGGCGGAGCCCCCGGATGCTCAGGGGGTAGGGGCATTTAATTACGGCCAGATGAGCATATTTGAATACCTTATTCATGACACTGGCAGGTCACTAATTGGCGTATGGTCCAGGGGGCGGAGCCCCCGGAAGCGCAGGGGTTTTAGGCATTAAATTAAGGTCAGATGAGCATACAGGGGCCAGCCTTAGGGCCCAAGGTGGGGTCCAGTAGGCAGAGCCCCCAGAAGCTCAGGGGTATAGGTATTTAATTACGGTCACATGAGCATATTTTGTAACCTCCTTATTTTGTGACACTGACAATTCACTATTTTTCTTTTTTTTTTCTATTTCTTTCTATTTAATTCTCTTTAATAATATTTTTTCAAAAGTGTGTGTGTAAGGGGGAAGGGGGAAATTGAGCCCCCAAGCCCGCAGATCCGTGGGACCTGACATGTAGGCCTCTAAAAAGTACATAAGCACATTTCTTGCCTGACTGTAAATTTTGATATTTGTCATTCTCCAACAAACGCATAAAATGTATAATTTACTAAAAAGTGAGGAAAAATCCTTGGAAATTATGTCATTTCAGCAACAACTGTAAATCACTGGTATCGAATTAGACCCACCCCCCCCCCCTCCTTTTTTTTTTAAAAGAAAGGAAAGGAAAAAGTAAAGAAAAAAGGGCTAAAAATACGAGTTAGAAGTGGACCCACCAGGGCACTCACTTATCCGTATATAGGACAAGGCCCTGGGGCAGCTAGCCATACTCGGATATTATTTTGGGTCGTTTCCCGGTCAGAACTAGCCCTAATTATCATTCCAGGATTTCGTTTCAAAACCTCTCTCTTTGCTGAGGAGGGGGAGGGGTACAAATCGGGAAATATCACAACTGATCTCCCCTACCTTTCTTATTCCTCTTTTTCCCCATTTCCCTTCCCCTCCTTCTCTCTCTCTCTCTCTCTCTCTCTCTTTTGTTTGCTGAGGGGCCGGGGGAGGGAAGGCGAAGGCCTTTCGCCCCCGATCCACAACGCGTTGGTGAGAAAAAAGTTTTGTAACAGACTTCTGTATTTTTCATATCAGTCTTGTTTACACGCATGTACATACTAACACATATGCATCCACGTTTCTGATCATAGGGGGTGTGGCTACGCAAGATTAATTGTTATTGTACCTCTACTTTTCTGAAATGTTAGGCAACACGAACGTGGAATTACTTTACTGCACCTCGTGTATAAGGCGATCATTTGAATCTGATCAATACAATGTGAAATGTATGTAACCACTCAGTAGCTATGTACTTACTTTAATCTCAAATTTTTAATATCTTGCACTCCTTGCTAACCTTTAAGTTTACAAGAGGAATACTATTTTTGGTTATGACAGTAACTATTATACAGAAGATAGGAAAATAAAAAATAAAAAACAAACAAAAAAAACAAACAAAAACAAACATACATATTTTTCATTTTGAAGGCCGATACACTCAGTGGATACACTGAGTGGATCCTGATCCCCTCATGCTTCTTTATCACATTTATATGAACAATATTCCTACATTGTTCACACCCCTGAGCTTATTTAACGTATGGCTTCGTTGCACTTTATGATTAAAAAAAAGTATATTCCTGGGTTTGCTCCTTATGTGACCGCTTATTTATTATTCTTTTATGTGTAAATGATTTCAACTATTATATACATGTTCTTAGGTGGTTGAGCTCTGCTCTACTGCTTCCAGTGATTTTCTTATGCTGACCAAGATGGGTCTTATTATTTTTATAGATGAACTTTATATTGATATTGACTGCACATCAGCACCACTGACACACACGAACACACGTTCAGTCACTTGCAAACGCACCTACACCACAAGCACGCTTGCAGTTGATCCCTTACATAATATCTGGTACTTTACATTTTATCGTTTCTGATGGAGTCACTCTCTTTTATTCCTGATAATTACATAGAAAATTCATACAATAGCAAATACTACACACCTCAAGAATTCAATAACATGTTTGATAGTAATCCAAATGATATTTCCCTTTTACATGCACATTTAAGAAGTCTGAATAGAAACTTCGAATATTTTGAAAATCTCTTACACACGTTAAACAATTTCAAATTCTCTGTTATTGGTATTAGCGAGACATGGCTACATGAAAATTCTCCAGATTTGTTTAATTTACCAAATTATAAGTTGATAAGGGCAGATCGCAAAGGAAAAAGAGGCGGAGGCGTGGCCTTCTACATTGATGAAAAACTGAAATTTAAGATCCGTTCCGATGTGAAACTGTTACATGCAGAGACTTTATTCATTGAAATAGAAAACACAGGATTTAAGAATATCATCATAGGTTTAATTTATAGACCGCCAGACTCTAATCTTGATTTATTTTATAAGGAACTTGAGCAATATCTCTATATAATAGGTAATGAAAATAAGCATACTTTTATTCTTGGAGATTTTAATATCAATTTCTTACCCTCAGTCGTCAATAATAACTCAAACAATTTTATGAAACTTATGTACTCATTCGGCTTCCATTCATTCATCAATAAATCCACCAGAATTAACCCATATTCATCAACTCAAATTGACAACATTTTTTCCAACGTACATAACAACATGAATAACAAAATGATAGGAGGAATTCTATGCTCTGAAGTTTCAGACCACTTACCAATATTTTTAACTTGTGAATTAAAACTACCATGCCCCAAATCATTTAACCAACGTACATATCGAAAAGAATCTAAACGTAATATTGAATTAATGAAGCAAGACTTATTAATTGAGGGGTGGGAGGATGTATACAATGAAGCTGACGCGAACATATCATATAATCTCTTGAATAATAAATTACAACATTATTATGAAAAAAATATTCCCATAGGTAAAGTAAAAAATAATAGAAAAACCCCAAAACATCCTTGGATAACAAAGGGTTTTTTGAAAACAATACAGACACGTAATCGCCTTTACAAATCACATTTACACAATCCTACTGAAGCCAATTAAAAAACATACAAGTTATATCGCAACAAGTTTACAAAATTAATTCGTATATCACGTAAACTGTATTATGCTAATAGAATAAAGGACGTCAGTTCAAATACTAATGCAACATGGAAAGTCATCAAAGAGGTAATGGGAACTAAGGCAAATCCCCACCTACTGATGATATGACTTTAAATGGTTCTAAAGTTGACTCTTCCCTTCATGCAAACT